TTTACTGCATTCACATTCTCTCCGTGTGTACCACACCCCCTTCATATAGTGCATAGTGTTAGTCTCCGTTTTTGTGCAAAAGTGTAGTTGTTATTTATGGAATCAGATTTGTGCCAACATTATCAAACAAATTTTTTTTGACTTCAAGCAAAAACAAGGCTTCGAGAAGAAAAAAAAGTAAATGAAGCAAAAGAAGTGTCATCTCAAAAGTAAAATTTATAACTTGCAAACAGGTGATTGTTTTATTTATTGGTTTATTTATTTATTACATTATCAAAAGACCAATCGTGGTTGCAAGTTATAAATTTGACTTTTGAGATGACATTTCTTTTGCTTCATTTACTTTTTTTTCTTCTCGAAGCCTTGTTTTTGCTTGATGTCAAAAAAGTTTTGCTTGATAATATTGGCACAAATCTGATTCCATAGTTATTGTGATTTTCTTGTCCGCGGTAACTATGCATTTTTGTACTGTCTACCATGTACCATTTCATGTCTATGTTACAACCATGTGTTAATACGTGGTCAAAATGTCTTATCCCCTCTGTATTTTGCCTGTTCTTTGTGCATAGTAAGGTTTAGGCTTTCATTTTGCTTAAATTATAATCCTTTTAAGGGCTCAAGATAAAAGAGTCGTTTGCCAATGCCCAGTAGTTTTCTTTAAGATGTATTCAACCTGTTGTCACTACAATATGTTTGTGATAATGATTTATATACTATATCCTATTTGTGTTAATCCTATCTTAATTTAAGGATTCAATATAAAGATTTATCATAAGCTTTAATACTGGCTATGATTAATTACAAAGTACTGCACAATTAGTTGAGCAGAAGTAACTTGTAACCTGCATAGGCGCCTATTATCTTATATTATCTGTTTGCTGTTTTTTTTTTACACTGGAGAGTAATGGTGATGAGTTTGATCACGGAAGAAATCCGTTTAACAGTCCTCACGTTTTCTTATATTTGTCAGTGCAGTGCCCTCTCAAAATCCATATAACAAATCATATCCATACTGATCCCTCACAACCCCCCAGCCCCCAATACTCTCCTTGCATACATTTTTAGTAACATGGAAGTAATGGAAATGTTACTTTTTTTTACTACATCACTACCCTCAGTTATTATAAAATCTGGATTATCAAAAAAGTCCAGCATGGTTATTAATGCACGTGGAGGAATAAACTGTATATCTTGTATATTTCAGACAATGTATATGTAAAACTGCCAGAACAAACATGATTTTCATCCCCACGTCACTTACACAGCTCTCCTGGATTTCTTGATCACAGGCAGCAGCCTCTGAAGATCTTCATCTGATCTGATGAATTTCTTCAGATCAAACACATCCAGCTCCTTATCTGACATCAGTAACACAAAGGCCAGAGCTGACCACTGTGCAGGTGAGAGGTCTGCTGCTGAAAGACTTCCTGAACTCAGGTATCTTTGTACTTCCTCTGTTAGAGAATTGTCACCCAGTTCATTCAGACAGTGGAACAGGTTGATGGTCCTTTCTGCAGATAAATTCTCCCGTATTTTCTCCTTGATGTACTGGGCTGTTTTCTTAATGTTATGTGAACTGGTTCTTGTCTGTCCCAGTAGAATCTCACTGGACTTTGTTGAGAGGCCAAGGAGGAAGCGGAGGTAGAGGTCCAAGTGTCCATTCTTGCTCCTTAATGCCTCATCCACTGCAGTCTTCAGCAGGTCAGCTGATGAGTTTGACAGAAACACGTATAAAGCAGCGAGATACTCCTGAATGCTCAGATGCACAAAGCAGTACACCTTCTCCTGGTACAACCCATACTCCCCTTTAAAGACTTCTGTGCACACTCCAGAGTAAACTGAAGCCTCTGTGACATCAATGCCATTCTCTGTCAGATCTTGCTCATAAAATATGAGATTGCCTTTCTCAAGGTTATGAAAAGCCAGTTTACCAAGTTTTAAAAGGAATTTCTTCCTAGATTTAGTGCATTCATTAAGCTTGATTTTATGTTTTTCCATATACTTCTCATTTTTAAAACTTGCCTGAAGGATCAGGAAGTGTGTGTACATTTCAGTCAGAGTCCTTGGAATTTCTCCACTGTCAGACTCACTAAAAAGACTCTCAAGGACAGTGGCTGAAATCCAGCAGAACACAGGTATGTGGCACAAAATGAAGAGGCTCCTTGATGATTTCACATGTGTGATAATCCTGCTGGCCAGGCTCTGATCACTAAATCTCTTCCTGAAATACTCCTTCTTCTGGGCATCATTGAAACCTTGTATCTCTGTCACCTGGTGGACACACTCAGGAGGTATCTGATTGGCTGCTGCTGGCTGGGAGGTTATCCAGAGGAGAGCTGATGGAAGCAGATTCCCCTTAATGAGGTTAGTCAATAGAACATCCAATGACGTTTTCTTTGTTACATCAAACCAGCTCTCATTATTCTGAAAATCTAGAGGAAGGCGACACTCATCCAGACCATCGAAGATCAACAAAACTTTGTACCTGTACAGCTCAGTGGATTCAAGTGATTTCAGTTCTGGGAGAAAGTGATGAAGCAGATCAATCAGACTGTATTCATCCTTAATCAAATTCAGATCCCGGAAAGGAAGAGCAAATATGAAGTGAATGTCCTGGTTTGCTTTTCCTTCTGCCCAGTCAAGAATAA